TATGATAGCGTAGCACTCAGAGAGGGCACCTACCTGCAGGTGTTCTTACCTTTGATAGTAAATGTACTAATGTGTCTTCAGAAGGCAGAACCTTTGCTTTCAAACGCATATTTCTGGAGAACTTCTGTATTTGCTTGAGTACGTAGTCTCAATGACAATCACCTGTTTTTGCACCTGGTCTACTGTCTGCAGAGCTTTAGTATCTGCAGATCCGTCTAGTTATTCAATGTTCTTTCTCTATCAGGCGACTCGTTCGGGGGGTGTGGTGGTGCTGGTGGGTCTGGGCTCTGCCATGGCCACGATTCCTCTGGTCAACGCTGCCGTCAGAGAAGTGGACATCAGAGGCGTCTTTCGCTACTGCAACACGTAAGGAAATATCCAATAAGGGTCTTTTTGTTTTTTGTCCAGTAAGCAAATGCTCAAAGCAAAGCTGGTCACTGATTGAAGATCAGTTTTTAGGCGTCACACCTGTTGAGTAAAACGTTTATCTCTCCGTATTGCAGCTGGCCGATGGCCATCGCCATGCTGGCGTCAGGCAAAGTGAACGTCAAGCCTCTGGTGACCCATCGTTTCCCTCTGGAGCAGGCCTTAGCAGCTTTCGAAACCACACGTCAAGGTGTTGGGATCAAGGTCATGTTAAAGTGTGACCAGAGTGACCTGAACCCCTGAACCGACGCAAACAGAGCAGCTGAGAGCGACTCAGCGCGACAGGCGAAGCTGGACGTTGACCGTGTGAGAGATAACAGAGCGAGTTCAAAGAGACGCAGTAATCACAGCGCTGGCTGCAGATCAGACGTGTAATCGGCATCAAATGGTACGAGCAGCTATTTATGATTGTCAACACTGTTCGTTAACAAACTTCTACCATGTTGTATGTAATCAGCAGTTTTCTTGAATTTATAATTTATGCTAATTTTAAAGGCTGTAACAGAGTAAAGAAAATCTTGTAAATTAAAAAAAGTCTGTTGCATTTCTTCACCATATTAATTTTTGTTGCAGAAGCTGCACCACCACACTGTAAGCACTGGGGGGCACCAGAGTTTCAAAATGAAATTATTAGCGGTCAATTGTACCAGCGTGTACATCAGTCATAGTTGTGGTGAATCAATTTATAGTTGGTATAAAAGCGGTCAGTGTCCTTATTAGTGGAGGAAACTGTAAATGATTCTAGACACGGTCCAAACGGCGCTGACATTCACCAAGAGTCTCTGGAGACGAACCAACACCTTCAGCTTTGGTTGGTAAGTTTAATTTAAGACTGAGTCATAATTTGGACTTGACTGATTTGATGAGGAACTGCACAGTGGCTCGGTGGTCAGCACCATCACCTAACAGCTAGAAGGTCGCCGGTTGGCGTCCCGGTGAGGACATCCGGGATCTTCCTGCGTGGAGTCTCCATGTTCTCCCCGTGCAGCGTGGGTTCTCTCCGGGTTCTCCGGCTTCCTCCCACAGTCCAGAAACATGCTGAGGTTAATTGGTGATTGTAAATTGTCCGTAGGTGTGAATGTGAGTGTGCTTGGTTGTCTGTCTCTAAGTGTAGCCCTGTGATAGACTGGTTACCTGTCCAGGTGAACCTGCCTTCACCCTGAGTCAGCTGGGATAGAGTCCAGCCCCCCATGACCCTGGTGAGGATTAAGGTGGAGAGATGATCGATGGAGGATTTGGTCGAGTCCAGCTTTCTGTTTTTCTTTACTCAGTTTTTCTGCCTTCGATGGAAGACGGGCTAATAACTAATAAAAGCCTCATATGTCACACAAACCTTTTTTTAAATATTCAGAATGCCGGTTGATCCGCTCCAAGAAAACTCCAGCCAGGTTTAGCTCAGATTTTATTATCTTGCCACAGTGACATGATTCTACTTTACGAGGCATGCACACAGATAATGTTCATACGGTTAAAATGTACTACAATGCGTTGTAAAAGCGTTACTCCGTGGTAAGGCTTTTCTCAGTCACAGTGTGTGATTCACAGTTCGCTCTCGCTCCCTCTCCAGACTGAAGGCCAACATACAGTCAGGAAGATGTTTGCAGTGACTAAACCTGTGTTTTGTTTTTGTTTTTTGTTTTTTTTAACATGAGCACAATACTAGACGAGTTTCTCTTTATGTACAGACATTCTAATACTGCTTATGGCAATGAGACAGCTCACACGACACAGTTACATTCACTTTCCACTCATAGTATGCATGAGTTTCAGTCAGAACACTAAAGATGAACACACAGCAGAGTAGCACACGAAAGAAAATTCCGTTTTCATACATGTGGCTTGATATCAAAAGCATAATTAATGCATGTTAAGAGTTGCTCGTTATTTAAACGTGTGAGTGTTTGTACATGAGACTTAGAAAAGACTGATCTCGCCATTCACAGGTTGAACTCGTGTATTGCCTTAAAATGCCGTAAATCAAAAGTATTATGGCGTTTCTCCCGTTTTAAACCCCTGCTCCGAGCATCGGTTCGACTCACGCGTACATCATATCCACTTAGCATATTTAAGCCCCACATTTCAAACACGTAACTCATTCCCCCTTGTCGCTGGCGGCTTCGATGACGTTTCATTGTGTCTGTGCCATCGTCGCCGTCTGCATCCAGATTCAACAGCAAGATTCAAGGAAGTATTTACAGTGCAGCTGCTGCGGCCCGTCCCTCCCCACCACCGCCTTCAGTCGCAATATTAGCAAAATATGTATTTACAGGAGAAAATAACTTAACAGAGAGGGACATGGAACTATACAGGAAGTATAGCAGAGGGAGCATATTGCATTACATGAATATAAAAAAATAAACTGTGACGCATTCGCCCGATAAGTCCGTCCACACCGAAGTGACAGGAAAGCACAGACAGGACAAATAAATAGCAAACACACACACACACACACACACACACACTCTGCCTCTGCAGCTGGTCAGATGGATTAAGCATCTCGTGTCAATAGGATGGCTGTCGCATGTTAAGCACAGACAAGGGAGAGACGATGAAGAATTGAAGTCATCAGCCCAAAGAAAAGAAAAAAGAAATGAATCGACAGGAAGAGTCAATCCTCCTCCTCCTCCTCCTCCTCCTCCTCCTCAGGTCGCTGCAGTCAGCTCGGCTCGCGGTGTAGCTCGACCAATCACAGCGGACAGGCCGTCCCGTGGAGCGGTCCCCGGCCCTCCTTTATATGTACATGGGTGTCTCCTGCCCCGTTAGAAGCCTGAACATGGCTGCCGGCATGGTCTTCATGTGAATCTGGCGGCAGGAGAAACAACGGCACAGGTTTCAGTGGACAAACAGCTGAAGACTGTTGATGTGGGTCTGTGTTTTCTTAAAGGGTTAACATTCTGAATTCAATGAGATTTTTTGGTTTTTATGGTCAGAACTGGTACAAACTTAAGAAATCAAGTTGGTGAAAGTGGAGAAATCAGTTAATATATATTAATATTAAAGCATTTAGGGAACGTAAACAGGAGGAACAGGCTGAGTGGGAGTGTTTCTGTTTTTTTGTCCCTTCACAAAAAATGAATGATGCATAAAAATCATTGATACTGCTAATTATTGACATGCATTTAGTTGCAATGATGGTTAAAAAATTAATCAGGTAGAATGAATTATTTGGTTAAAAAAAGTGATTTTATGTTTTTCTCCTTTTATAAATCATGAGTGTGATGGGATCTAACAGGCATTTAAAGGGTTAACATTATTAATTTAAATGAGGTTTTGGTTTCATGGTCAGAACTGATGCACATTTAAGAAATCAAGTTGGTGAAAGTGGAGAAATCAGTTACTATTGATTTTGAAGCATTTTGTGAACGTAAACAGGAGGCGGCCTGAGTGGGAGTTTTCTCTACTTTGCTCTCTGATCCAAAACACTGATGCATCACAATCAGTGTTGCTGTTCATCAGTTACGTATCTCAGACTCTTCTTTTAATATAACAAGAAAA